GTAAGATAGCAACATCTAAAGGAGGAGGAAAAGAACATCTAAGACCTTTTTTGAGTAAGTAGATTCGCTCCTAGTTGCTCGCTTGCTCACAACAAAATATTTTTACACCAACACTTTCATTTTGAAACATTTTTTTGAAAGACAAACACTTTGTACGCGTTCTTATAGAAATGAGAGCCATTGCGAAGACACCTTTTCAAAATCACTTTCAAAAAACACATTCCACAAACACTTCTTTGAACCATTTTCGAAACAAAACTTTGTACGCGTTCTTATAGAAATGAGAACCATTACAAAGACATTTTTCAAAATGCTTTCAAAACCCACACCACAAGCACCTTCAAACAAAAGCAAGTGATCTAACAAGAAACTAAGATCCCATGGAAAACCATGGATGAAAGGGGTGCTAACACCTTCCCCTTTCATAATCTACCCCCCGAACTCAATAAAACATCTCTAAAGGTCTTTCCTGTTCTTTTCAGCCTTTCCTTGTTGGATAAAAGAAAAGTCGGTGGCGACTCTTGCTATCCGCAACATTTGCGATCAAACGCAAAACAAAAAGTCAATTCTCCCACTGTATCACACCGGGCATACTCATATACCATGCATAATCATATGCATTTTTCGAGGTCTTGTTGCTATTACCACCTTACCTTGTGGTCAAATTCCAATTTAATCGGTACCTATCAAAATAGATCTATGTCTGCCTGTTTCTCTTTTCGTCCAACGCTAATTTTAGATGTGTTATTCCTCTTTTCCAATCAACGCTAATATTGGGCATGTGTTGCTTCTCACTTTCAACCAATGCTAATATTGGATATCATGTTTATCTCTACCATATAAAGTCAATGATTAGATGTCATATCTTTTTCCCTCATCTAAACACAATGATTAGATGTCGTAGTCTTATTTCGTCCAAAGCCAATTTGGATGTCATATCTTGTTCCCCTCATCTAAAGGCAATTATCAGATGTCACAGTCTTCTTCCATTCAAAGCCAATCATTGGATGTCATATTATTTCTCCCTTAATTCAAAGCCAATAATGTGATGTCGCGGTTTCCTTCCATCCAAAGCCAACTATTCGATGTCATATATCTTTTCCATTCATTCAAAGCAAATCATTGAATGTCGTGTTTGTCTTCCATCCAAAGCCAATTATTGAATGTCATATATCTTTTTCCCTTTATTCTAAAGTCAATAATTGGATGTCGTGGTTTTCTTTCATCCAAAGCCAATGATTGGATGTTATAAACATTTTCCATTTCATGCAAAGCCAACAATTGGATGTCAATTCTTTTTCCCTTCGCCCAAAGTAAATAATTGGATGCCACGGTCTTCTTTCGTCCAAAGCCAATTATTGGACGTCAAAACTTTTTTCCCTCCATCCAAAGCCAATAATTGGATGTCGGGGTCCTCTTTCATAGTTATGTTACCGTCCAAAGTCAATAATTGGATGTCTTATCCCTAATATAGTGTTTTTTATCGCCTCCAATGCCAATATTAGATGCCAAATATCTTGTATTTTTTCCAGCGTGTCTTCCCACATCATATTATTCAATCTACCATAAATATCTTATTTCAAATTTCCCCACATAGAGTCTTATCTTATGTATTCATATCATATCATATACAAGAGAAATGTGAGTAAAAAAGTCCATTGCATTCATGTCATATCATAAGCATCGTTGTGATATCTTAGGACCGAAAATTTGGTATTTTTGTATTTAAGTCTTTCCAATCACGTCGAGACGAAGATTTCAATCTTCACCTTATTGGATAGAAGAAACTGAAATAACGGCATCTGCCATACCATAATTTTTCACCTAAGATTCCACCCTCTATTGGCATCATTGTATAACAAGTGTTCACAAGTGGTTTGATCTATTTTTGTCAATTCTCAAGTCAGATTTCAAAAATCTATAACTTCTTCAAATTTCAACACTTTGAGCGGTTCTTTTTGCATATGATTCTTCTTGACATCATCTATAATTTCTCTTTACGAGTTAAGAGCTGATTATGTTTGAAAATCCACGAAAATGGAAAGATTAGAGGTTGCTTTGTGAATTTAGTGAAATTTGACTTAATTTTAATTGTGTTTTGCCCGACTTTTACCAAATCGTACATATTGCACATTTTTTATCTCTTAATTTAGCATTTCATTTTATTTCATAAAATCACAACAAAAAAAAATTTAGCATAATTCTATTTTACTTGCAACTTTTTTATTCAAAATATTAAAAAAAAACTATTATTATAGTTTCATTTTAATTTATATTTTCATTTCATTGTTAATTCAAAATCTCAAAAAATATTTATGACTCTCTCTTTCATTTTTTTCATTTTTTAATATATAAAAGTCATTTTTCTCTTTTTAAATTGCACTTTCATTTATTTTAATTCAAGAAAAAAATTCATAGATATTTAAGTTAAATTCAATGTTATTTGTTTTAGTTTTATTTTTTATTGTTATTATTATTTTTACCAACTCTTTTATTCTTTTTTCATTTTTATCATTATTAGTATTAGTGTTATTATTATTATTATTAGTAGTAGTAGTAGTATTATATTTTTGTCTCATGTCCAAAAGAAAGAAGAGAAAATGACAAAATTTGTCTACAAGAACAGTCCATATTCTTGTTATCCATCTTGCTACAAAACAGTCCATCCACTTTGACATCCACAACACAACAAAACATGTATCATAACAGTCTAGAAATTGCACAAAATTGGCAAAAAAACACAAACAGTTATAGAAAGATAATAAAACAGTATCATGAAACTGTTTGTGATCTTATCTTCATTTTACCCTCAATATTCATTCAAAATTTCATCCGCTTCACTATAAAAGCAGACTTCATACAACAGAAAAAGGGGAGAAAAAACACCACAAAAATTATTCAATTTTTTTTGCATAACAATCTTCATACTATCATTTTCAATACCTCCATTTAACCAACAAGACTCTTTGTCTCCTAACCCATACCACCCCTGAAAACATTCAAAAATCACTCAACCCTTCATAAAACTTCACTAACCATCTCACAACTGCAACCCTGTAGAATCGAGAAAAAACACTCAACCTTCAAATAACTGTGAAACCGTGACGTTCAACATAACTTGCGCAACCTCAATACTGAACCCGCATCAGCTTGCATCGAGCTCACAAATTTTGGAAGAGAAGAGACTGAATACAAATCTCAGAGGATCAGAAATAAAATGAAGGAGAAGAAGAAACTCCAGACATCATACATGTATAATCGGGAGAAAATCTCCTCTTCGGTAACCATTTACAATTTTCCTTATTCTTTGAATGTTAATGCTTTTTGTTATTCTGTATTGTCACTATTCTTGTTGTGTCACATTTAGTGGAGTTGTTATTTGTTTTTCCGTAAGAATCAACATTGGAGATGAGAGAAGAATCGAGAGTGTCGTTGATGTTGTTTTTTGTTGAGAATTATAACTGAGAGAGAGAATAGGTGAGAAGAAGTACATAGGAAGTTTTCTTTGGGGAAGTTTTTTTTCCTTTCGTATCTAGCCATTTTTCCATCGTGTATTATTTCTTAGGGTTTACAACCCGGGTAGTTTAAAGTAGACTGGGCTCAGATCTGAGTATGCCTTGACCCGATCCAGTCTAGTGCATTTTTTTAATTCAATTTCCATCCTATCTTTTTTGTTTGATGTCTGGGCTTTTTCCCCCACCAGCCCATCTAAATTATTCATGAGCACGCCAGACCTTGCTTTACACCACCCTTTGGTAGTTTGTTTTGTTTTTTGTTATTAATTAGTTAGTAGTTTTGAAATTAATTAAGTAGTCACATAGTTTTATACTAATCTCAATCAATTAGCTTAGTTTTAATAATTTAATTAAATCTTGATATTTCATTTTAGTTTGGTTAACATTGTTTTGTTTAGTTAATTTTCTTTGACCTTTTAGTTAGTCTTTTATTGATGAATTTGTAGTTTATTTCTTTTTTTGTTATCTATTTGAATTTATTGCCTTATGATATTCCTTTCATGATATATGTTGGTTGAGTTTATGATAATTTCGATTTAATTTCATGACTCCTCTCATGGTTTTCTTGTGAGATCTTAGAGTACTTATACTTTTGGTTATAATTTTCTTGTTGCTTGCAAAATCTAAGAGAAGGGATTATCTAGTTGACTTTATGTCAATGTGTGTCTTTTGCATGCTTATATGTGTTGTTTATCTATCTTGTTCATCTTTTACTTAGCTAGACCCCCTTAAAGCACTAGCTTTCAAACTCAAACTTTTTCATAAAAAAAACTTTGACATTAGGTCATTGCATTTTCAAAATCCTTTCTTTAATAAATACTTCAAAAACACTTAAGCATATCATAATCTTTGTACAAAAACAATAAAAAAACACTTCTCTTCTCATCCATACACTCTTTTAACAAATAACTAATTTTAACCAAAATACACAAATATTTTAAGAGGTTCCTATAGAGTACTATAGATACATAGGGTGTTAATACCTTCACTTTGTATAATCAATCCACGTACCTTAGATCTCTTTAATGAATTATTATTGCTTTACTTTTTAGTTTTTCTTTGCATATTTATTTTTGGGGTTTATTTCGCTCTTTTCTCATTCTTTTGGAAATAAAAAGCGTGGTGACGAATTTCACTATAATGAGTCAAGTCAATCAATGAATTTGGTCTCAAATTTTCACCGCTACAACTATAAGCATATTGCACGCATTGTCTCATATATTGTGTCCAACATCTATCATGCGAAGAACAAAATATCATAATATTAAATTATTCATGAATTTTGAATATCACACTCCACCCTCATTTTGTACTTGGATTCACTTGATAAACAAATGGCATTAAAGTCTATCTTCTATTAAAGACTAATCATCTCGTAATAAAAGAAATGATTTCAGGCGGTTCACTAAACAAATTCTCACCATTTAATGAAGGAGGATATGGTTTGTGGAAAGAGAAGATGAAAAACTTTATTGAGGGGATGAATCATGCTATTTCGAAGGTTATGAAATAAGTTACATTTCTTCCCACAAATGAAGTTAATGGTATTATGGTGAACAAATATGTTGAAGATGATTGGACCAAAGATGAGAAAGAAAATGTGCAACATAGTTTGAAAGCAAAAACAATCATCACTATTACTCTTAGTCTCGATGAGAGTTCTTGCGTGTTTTTCATTGTGAAACTGCAAAAGAAATGTGGGATATCATTCAAGTTATCCATGAAGGTACTATTGTGGTAAAGAGGTCGAGGTTGAACATGTTGACTAATGGGCATGAGATATTTATAATGAAACCCGAAGACAATATTTATGACATGCAATAACGATTCAGTCATATCGTGAGTCACATGAGGACTCTATAGGAAAAAAAAATTCAAAATGAAAACTTGATTGCAAAAGTATTTAGATGCTTAAACTACATTTAATAATCCTAATTCACTATGATTTTTGAATCTGGAGATTTATAAATGCACTTTATTTCTCTATTTGAATCATGTATCTGCAACAACAAAAAACTTTAGAACCTTGTGCTAAAGGCTTAATGTACAATCAAAAGAAGAAAAGATGTAATTTTAGAATGGAATAGCCAAAAACAACAAAAATAATAATTGATATCAAAGGAGGGAGACAAACCAAAACAGAAATTGTCAAGTAACTTGGGAAATCTTCCAAAAGTGATAATGTTTAGAAGATTCATCAAGACATTGAAAAAATGATAATGCTTATGAAATTCATGAAGGCATTAGAAAAATAATAATGCTTAGGGGATTCATGAAGGCGAAAAATAATAATGCTTAGGGGATTCATGAAGGCTCGGAAGAATGAATCTTTGAATTAAGGCGTTATTGAAGTCCCACATTAATTTGTTTATAAATAATATTATTGATTATAAAACTCACACATACTTGGCATTAGAGCTATTAAGATGGACCGAAGTCCATGGACTAGTTTATTGGGCTCAAAAAAAATTAAGGTCTGAGTCTTATTTTTCGATCCTTTTTTAGTCAGATTCAGAAAAGTCCTGAAAAATATAGGTCACTTTGGATGGACTATAGATAGCTCGTCGGTTTGAAAAAAATTAAAAATTTTAATATAATTAGAAATCATACTTTTCTAATTCATAAAAAAAAATTAACAAAAAAAAAATTAAAATTGATTCTGTATGAAATTCTAGATAATGTTAGTGAAGAAAGGTATAAACAATGTATACCTTATTTTTGAGTTCATATAGTATAAATAGTCAATTGGTATAAATGAAAATTTTTGATGTCTAAAGTGATGAAATTCTAGATATGCTATAAACAATTTGTGTATTATGTATTTTAATTTTATTTGGTATTATAAAAGTATAAATATCAAACAAAAGTTGTTGGTTTGACTTAATTTCAAACTAAAACGTTTCATCCTAATATAATTATGTAGATAGTATAGAAAAAGACACCATGATGTATTCTAATTAAAAATAAGGTTGACACTAGGTTTAAAAAGCTCTAATATAATTTTTATAGGAGGGTATAATTAGTACAAATTAGATATATAATCATTTGTTATAAAACTATATCCCATCAATCTAATTATAATTGTTATAAAATTATAATTGTCATGAATATTTATAACTTAAAATTTGTTGGAATAAGTTATTTAATTTGTGTGCTACATTGGATAATTTGTGATGTATTTTTGATAGTTTGAATTAAGTTAATGTGTTATTTTATATTTTAATTGTTAAATTATATGGATTATATATATAAAAGTATTATTGCATGCAATTGCATAGTTACTTACAAAAAAAAATCAATTTTCTTAAAAAATGAGCCCGTTTAGGGACCAGAGCCCGTTTAGGGTCGAGTAGTCCGCAGCCAGAAAGGATTGGATCTAAGTAGTAAAAATAGAGTCCATTTAATATGAGATTTTTAGATCCGGCTCTGAAAAGCCCAAGACCTACATAAACCGACCCATTTAAAATCAAATAGCCCATTTTAACAGCTCTACTTCACATATTTTTTTTTTAATTGTAAAGATATTAAAATGACTTGGGCTTAAGCCCCTAAAATTTATTTTAAAATTTATATTAATTAATTTTTAAATAAACTTTTAAATATTTTATTTAAGATGATTAATTATTCATTTATCATATAAAAAATATTAATTAATAAATTATCTTATTCATCACTATCACCTCATTAAAATTAAATTTTTTAAGTGAAAGGAGACAGAAATCTTAAAAAATGTAAAATAAAAGGACTTAAAAATTAAATTTTAAAATAGGAAAAAATTAAAAATATTTAAATAAAGAGATCAAAAATACATTTAAATCTATTATAAAAAAACCTTCTTTGATTTAAAAAATTGAACAACCTTGTATTGTATAGATGTGTCACTCACTATTTGAATAATACTCTTCTTCTATAAAACTAAGTGGCCATCAAACATATTGCCATCCTTTATGAACTCTCATTGTTAAGTTTTATTTGAAGGGACCATTGGGAACCTCAAAATGTTGATATATTATTTTAACTCAAAGGAGAAAAATATCAAAGTTTGTATAATTTACAGCTTGCATGTTGAAAGCATTTTGGAACTATTATAGGAGTGCAATATTAAAGGAAACTATCAACCCAATCATTCACATTATGGGTGTACCGTCCAACTCCAAGATACCTCCAAAAATGACAGAGGCCAATGATAGGGCCAAACAATTTGCTTGACCAGACATGTCTAACTAATTAACATACAAAAGATAGTACTCTACATGATAAAACTATTGTTCTTCCTTTTGGCCCTTATGCTTTGTTTCCATTAGAGTGCACATCATTAACGGTTAGTGTTGTTAATATAAATTATTTATATTCTCAGAAACTGTCATTTACTTATTATATAGAGTATATACTACAACTAATTTTAACTCATAAGTAAGACCAGAATTAGATAAATGGTAGTAATCTAGAAGAATCTAAATTTAAATCATGACAAGTATTAGTAAGTTGAAAAAAATAGTAAGGTGAAAGAACATGGTTAGTTTGGTAAGTTGCATTTAATATTATGAGGGACCAAAACATTATTTAATATATTAGCATTTAATATTATGAGGGACCAAAACATTATTTAATATTTGCACAATGAAAGATTTCTTTAAAGAATGATGATTGGTTATGTGACCAGCATTATTGGGGTACATGCCATGACTCATAAAATGCTAGGATTCTTGCCAATCAATTGCTACCTTCGTCTTTAATTATAAGACTTTTTTTTTTAATTTTTTTTTTTAATTTTTATAAAATTCTCTTTGAAAGTGAAAGTATATTAATTATTATTTTTAGAATATATCTTTAATTATATTATATCTTTTACTTCAATGTATAATAAATACATTTGTATCAATATTAACTATTTCTCTTTCTTAAAAATATACTTTTAAAATTGTATAAATAATTAACTAATTTAATATTGTAATCAACTTTCTTAATTAGTGTCATTTAATTTACAGAATCTTATATACATAAAATAGTAAAAGTCTTGTACTATATATTCCGATAGAAATAGTAAATGAACTCTGTCCTAGAATGGTGAAGCAATAAGAACAGTTTTTACTCCTATTACAATATAAGACATCGGTTCTATCCATGAATTTGATCTGCCACATAAAAAATGAGTATATTTGAATTTATGATCATAATGGTCACTACGTAGCACAAGTGACATGCATCTCAAATACATGACAAGGAGTGGTAGTTGAAGAAACACGTAGAATAAATTATTGAAGATCACGAAGTTAAAAGTGGTAGGGAAATAGATATTTGTTGCCTTAGCTGAAATAACGGTTCGTGTATCAATTAAGTTGTGTGTGCAATGTGGCAGCATAGGCCATACTAAGAAAGAAACAATATATGGTGTTGATATGTGTCTAAGAAGTGGTATAGATTAATATTATTTATTTATGTATTTTCTAATGAGAATATTGTTTTTTAACATCTTTTAATTAAATAGAAAAATGTTTTATATTAACGATTGTTTATATTTAAGATATTTTACATTTTCAAATAGAACTATGTATATGCAGATAAATTAGTTAATACATATTTCTTTGTTGGTTATGATAATTGGGGAAGATTCACTTCTGATTTATATTTTAAAAAGTTTTTAACGGATAAGTAGACATGTTTAACTATTATTTTTTTTATAATTGTTTGATGAGTTAAATTTTATATCTCATCCTTTTTATTTTTTCTTTTTTATTAAATAATTTATCTTTATTTTAAAAATAAAGATTTAATAATTAATTAAAATCAATATTGATTGAAAATAGTAATATTTATAAAAATATTGAATTTTTAAAAGAGAATTTGAATTTTAAAAGATATAAGAAAAGTAAAAGTAATATAAAATTTAAAATATATGAACTGACTATATGAATGTAAAAGATTTGAAAATAAAGCTGCATATCAAATTATACGAAAGAAGATGCTTGACTCGAAATATCGAGAAGAATATATAATTTTTAATAAAACAATAAATTTTACTTATAAAAAGAATACAAGATTTACTCAAATCCAAAAAAAAAAATGTATCTTATATTATATTCCTATTACAATCTAAAGGAGAGGTAAATCCCATAAAAAAAATCAACCTAGATTGATTTTACAATATAAACCTAACTACCTCTGAGAATTAAATTTAATGGAATTCAACCAATCCTCGAACCTAAGCACCTTACCTTAAAACAAAATTGAATTCATAAACTAGCCAAATCAAACAAATATAATTCTGTATCTTTTTTTCTTTAGTGGCATAAGAAATTAGAAAGATTATCCAAATTTAACAATACCTTGCTCCCCAACCAAGAAATAATCCGCTCCAAATAGCCTCTTTTCCCCTCACGATTCTCCATTTCCACTTAAATATAAAAATTACATAATGTTTAAGGAATTAAAAAGATTTATCATAAGGTTTCCTCCTTGATCATCCTAATTAGAGTCATTGGAATCAATAGTTGAAACGGGGAGATTCAGAAGAAGAGTTTCCTGGCACACATTTCTTCTTCTAGATGCAACTCTATTGCGATCTGGTTTTAGATCAAATGAGATTTGATTGTGAAATTTTGTAGAAATTTGATGTCGATTTTCACATACAATACTATTGTTCCGCGCGGAAACTAGAATTGATGTTGCTTAATGACGTTGAACTCTTGAAGCAATAGTGTTAATCTCCGGTGCAGTGGCACAATGTGAAACTGCAAGATTACCACTCAAATATATAAGTCAGTTACAAAATCTAAAATAAGTGATGTGAAATTATAAGATCATAAAAATATATCTTGACCTTGTGTGCCTTGATT